CAAAAGCAGCAAGTATATAATACTATCAAACAGTGCAGTGAAAAGAACGTAATTTTTAATTGCTTTATCATACTTTATATCCCTACACCTCTGAAGCACTCAATGTTCTTCATGCAGTCCAGTCATGTCTCACTTTTGAAATATTTCAAAGGAGAAAAGAGATTTTCGTGATACATCCTTAAGTGTTCCAATGATTACACATGCTGTAACCTATTTCTTCATAAACGCATCCCATCTTTAATTTTGTCCTTTTCAAGATACAATCAACCTAGTGTCCTTTTATTCATAAAGATTGTTCTTTTACATACTTTCTCTGTCTTACCTATTTGTTAATTCTGTTTCTCTGTGATATCAAGCATACTTCATTTCATGCTTCATTGTCCAGGTTTTAGTTTCAGCTCCAGTATATTAAATGTTCCCACCCTTTTGCTCCATATTTTATAGTCGACAGTACAGAAGCGTTAAAAGCCTTTCTCAAGCAAAGAGAAAGATGAGTGTTCTTAATATGGAATTCTTTCCTTCAGAAACTTGATTGACCCCAAATCTTATGACTTCACAGTCAAGAAAAATAAAACTCATTCAAGGCAAAAAGTATCTCAGAAACACTTCTCTGAAGTGAAAAGATGACAAATTTTCTCTTTCCTCCCTATTTCCCACCCCTTCCCCTTGAAATAAAGACAAGCCCTGTACATTAAAATGAAAAAAAAAAACCAGTATTAGCTGTATAATTTTTGCTTAGGTCTACCCATTAGGAATTTTATGTACCCCTGTTTCTGATACCAAAATGTTGTACTTCATTACAATGAAGGCTTCATTTTTATTTGAAATCCTTAATTTCCCGGTTCGGTTTCATAGTAGACCTGGTCACGGAAAAGGAGTTCCAGGATCTGAGGAAGTCCTGATAAAAGGGGGGCAGCTTGGAAAGGTCTGTTAGAAAACCCTGTGGCAGATGTAAAAGAGATGCTACTTATAGCAGAGCTCTTGCAGACTGAGGAGACGCTCATAAAATAGTCATGGTTCAGCCTGTCCATCACCTTCTGTTGGTTGAAGGCTAGATGGCTGAACAACAAATGATCCTGATAAGTCAATTAGAGAAGATACTGGAAGCAGCACAGATCATCAAAATAGTTGTGGTCTGAGAAAGTACAGGTTTGGCCTGAATGGATCACATCCCCCAAACTGGATCCATGCTGTAGTGAAATGACTTCTCTGTACTCTTAAAAATCATGCCAAGGAGTCATACGTGGCACCTGGTCAGCTCATGAAGGCTGGCCTTCAACTGCAGGGTGAGCACAGCCCACCTCTCTGGGAGAAGGCGCGTGCGTTTTCCTGAGGGCTTGGTCAGGAATGTGAGGTGCCCTGGGCTGAGGATCCACAGTCAGTACCCTGGGATCTACTAGTGAGCACCCAAGAGAGCACCTCCGCTTCCGCCTGAGGGGGAAGTAGTCCCTGCAAGCTAGTCCTGGTCATGTTGAGTCGCTGGGGAACCAAGGCAGTGACCATCCTTCTTCAAAGTCTCCCCTTCACAGGACTCCAGCGAGGGAACTACAGCAATGGCTTGGCCAGCTTGGCCTGGTGGATCTCATCGAGGTGTGTGGAGGAGGGCCCAGCAGCAGCCTCAGATGTTGTGCAGGATAATTCTCTCTCCAAAATGGAGGGGAACTGAGCCCTGGTTTGTGCTTTCCTTCCTTTCCCTGGAAGATGAAGTCTCTGCATCTGCTATCAGAGGTTCTGGAAGCAGTTGCTGGCAACAGCACTCAGGGCAAAATGGTCTTCCCCCGCCAGACAGCCTGCTCTCACCATTTCTCACAGCCTCTTCCAGCCATCGCTGGCACCCTCACATCAGCAGGACGGGCATCCATGGGCCAATGCCCTCCTGCACGATTTGGGAGCCAAGCACTCCTCCAGAGCAGCACAGCATCCCTCAGCACCGGTGATATCTACATGGACCTGCCTGCAGCAGGGAAAGCCCCTGCAGCTGAGCTGAAGGAGGCTGAAAGGGGACCTTGTGAGGGCAGCGCCGGGGAGCAAGAGCGGGGTGGAGGTGGGACTTCTTTCGTTGTTTGCTCAACAGAATGATTTCTGTGGCTGTAGATCCCTATTTGCTCTCTAATTATCTGTTGTATGATGTGCCAGCACTTCTCCAGGGCAGAGGATAAAATATGCACAGGGTGCTTTGGTCTGTTTTGTCTCCTTTGCCTTTTCCATAATATCTTTTCTTTCTCTAGAACAATTAAATTATCCTCAACCTTCCCTCTTCAGTTGCAAAGCATCCTGCAGATTTTCTGCCTAGAGTGGAATTTCAAGAAATTTTTTAATGTATTTGACAGAGAGATATTTTCATTACATGTAAAATTCCAGCAGTTATTATTGAAATATTGTCTAAGTCTTGGGTTCAGGTGGAAAACAATGACAAAGAGCAGTTAAACAAAGAAAGAAACATCAAGAATCCCAACAAGTAACAACTTAAAAAATAGGGAAAAGGTAATATCACTGAGTCACAGAAATAAAGTTAAAAATATTGGCAGCATTAAAAACCTAATATAAAATAATTTTAATACAGCCGAATAGCAAAGCAAACCAACCAGCTGTATAGATCTCAGCTGTCAGTTGAAATGCTTCAAACAAGACTGTAGAAAATGTAGATGTTATCTTTATCTTACCTTGTGAACTGATTGCTTCAGAATTAAAAGAAGATCCTATCTTACTGATGGTACCGGGATAGAATAGAAAGAAGCACATGTGTTCTCCCTGATCATGATCCCATAGTCCTAATTAAAAACTCAGAGGAAAGGAAAGATTTTTCTGTCTATTTTTCTGTTCACCTCATTAACATACCAACTACTTCTTCTTTGATTTAATGGAATATCAAACAGGTTGTGCTCCCACTTACAGTCATTAGGCTTGAAGTGCTGATGGCTGTGTATTCGGGGCCTCTGGCTTCTCTGTGGCACCATCATGAGGAATACCCACAGGCGTCTTTCTTACTGTTCAACAGTCACATTTGAATGTGCATTAAAATCTGATTAATTTGTTGTCATGGTTTAACCCCAGCCGGCAACCAAGCCCCACCCATCCGCTCCCTTGCTCCCCCACAGTGGGACGGGGGAGTGAATTGGAAGCATAAAAGTGAGAAAACTCATGGGTTGAGATAAAGACAGTGTAATAGGTACAGCAAAGGCAAGCAAAGCAAAGCAAAGCAAAACAAGGAACTCATTCCCTGCTTCCCATGGGCAGGCAGGTGCTCAGCCATCCCCAGGACAGCAGGGCTCCATCACGCGTAACAGTGACTTGGGAAGACAAACGCCATCACTCCGAACGTCCCCCCCTTCCTTCTTCTTCCCCCAGCTTTATATACTGAGCATGACGTCATATGGTCTGGAATAGCCCTGTGGCCAGTTGGGGTCAGCTGTCCTGGCTGTGCCCCCTCCCAGCTTCTTGTGCCCCTGGCAGAGCTGAGAGCTGAGAAGTCCTTGACTGGTCTAAGCACTACCCAGCAACAACTAAACCATCAGTGAGTTGTCAACATTCTTCTAGTACTAAATCCAAAACATGATCTCCCCACTGCTCCCTTCTTCCCAGGCTCAACTTCACTCCCCATTTCTCTACCTCTTACCGCTGGGTGGGACAGATCGACAC